ACAGACACAGACAGACACAGACAGACACAGACAGACACAGACAGACAGACAGACACACACAGACACACACACAGACACACACACAGACACACACACAGACACACACACAGACACACACACAGACAGACACACAGACAGACACACAGACAGACACACAGACAGGCAGACGGACACAGACACACACACAAACAGACACAGACACGGACACAGACACACACACAGACACAGACACACACACACACAGACACACACACACACACACTTGAGAAGAGTGCTCCGTGGAGCTTAGTTTCAGGCTATTCGCGGTGAGCGTTCGCACTTTAGAGTTAGTTAATGCAATACCAGTCTAGAGCATTAGACGCTTACTGCACAACAAAGAAGGAGGCAGCTTTGCACTTACGTAGGTTCTTCTCAAAGCAGGTACGTAGCTCCAACGTCCCGGAGCTATATCACAGGCCAGTGCAAGTGTCTTTGTTAGTACCAGGCTTGCACGGTCCCTGGCCCCCCTGCTTCTGTACAGCTGAGTAGAGTAGAATAGGTTAGTGTCCCTTGGAACGGGGGCTGACACACACAAGGAGCCGTGTCGGCGCAGCTAGAAGGACTCAGCGCAAGCGCTTTTCCTGGAAAGCCGCAACGCTGCAGCACAAAGTGTGCTCGTCCTGCTTCTTTTCTCTTGTTCTTTTTCTTTTTCCTTTTATACTTTTCTTTGCTTTTTTGCCAGGGGTGTGGAGGGGTGTTCGGGCGTGCACTGACTAAACAAGCCTAGATGCCACCTAACAAGCCTGAAGAAAAGAACAAGACAAACGAAAAAGCAAGGAAAGAAGAGAAAGGTGCAGGGGGTGCGGGGGGGGGCAGGGCGTGCGTTGACTAAACGATCTCACCTAACAAGCCTGAAGGAAGGAACAAGACAAACGAAAAGGCAAGGAAAAACAAGAAAAGGTGCAGGGGGTGTGGGGTGGGGTGGATGCTCTTGGGAGCGAACGGCACGGGCCCATAGGCACTGGCCGAGAAGCCGAAATCGGCGCTTGTAAAATTCTGTCTATTGAAAAATTGGGAACATCTCCGGGGGTGAAGCAGTATTCCGGTATAGCTTTCAGTAGGCTCTGCAGCGATCCTTCACGCGTACTGGGTGAAACATTTCCGTCCATCACACTTCGAGCATCAAAATTCAGCAGAAAGATTCAGTATAGAAAAAATCAGTGCAGTACTCCTATGAAAAGGAGAGGAAATTCAACGCAGTAACGGCGCCCCGTAGGGTTCACACAGCTTACCACGGTGGGAAGAAGCTGCGAATCACAATTGAGAAGAGTGCTCCGTGGAGCTTAGCTTCAGGCTATTCGCACTGAGCGTTAGCACTTTAGAGTTAGTTAATGCAATACCCGTCTAGAGCATTAGACGCTTACTGCACAACAAAGAAGAGACAGCTTTGCACTTACGTAGGTTCTTCTCAAGCAGGTACGTAGCTCCAGCGTCCCGGAGCTATATAACAGACCGGTGCAAGTGTCTTTGTTAGGGGACAGGGGCAGAGAGGGACAGGGACAGAGACAGAGACAGACAGAGAAAAACAGACAGAGACAGACAGAGAGAGAGAGAGAGAGAGAGGTGAAGGAAGAGGGAGAGGGAGAGCACTCCAGTGAGCCAGCCTCTGCGCTTCCTGCACGAGGCCAGGCCTGGATTTCCCAGAACACTTGAAAACCTACTGCCAATTTTACACACCCACGGATGGTCCTGATATATGCCTTTGTTGTTGTAAAAGTGCTTTGTGTTGTTGTAAAAGTGCCCCAACATGGGGCCTTTTCTATCCCACCCGCCCACCTGTCCAGCTCGACTTTGGCGGTTGCCAAGGATTTTGCTGGTTGGTTGTTGTGGGTGAGATTCCATGTTAAATTGGAAGTTTCCAAGGGAAGAAGTTTCAGCCTAAGACCATCAAGTTTGATGGGGCGGGCAAGTGGCTTCCCAATCAAATTGAAACTTCCACCTTAAGGAAAACTCTATGGGTGTGGGCAGCCTGCTATGCGTTCTACAAGAAATGTGAAACTTCCTCGAAACTTTTTGCCTTTCCCATCTCTGTCTATATTGAAACTTCTTCCCTTGCAAACTTCCACTTTAACATTGAAATTTGCCCGCAACAACCAAATAGCGAAACCCTGAGATTCGGTGGGAGGGGTCAGGCTAGCGTCTGCAACTCCTGGTTTCTACAACCATCAGCCCCATCAAACTTGATGGGCTTAGGCTGAAACTTCTTCCCTTGGAAACTTCCAATTTAACATGGAATCTCACCCACAACAACCAACCAGCAAAATCCTTGGCAACCGCCAAAGTCGAGCTGGACAGGTGGGCGGGTGGGATAGAAAAGGCCCCATGTTGGGGCACTTTTACAACAACACAAAGCACTTTTACAACAACAAAGGCATATATGTTCTTAGAACTTGTGTTCTTTTTCCCAGAAAGCAAAGCTATGGGGTTCTTACTTCAAACACCAATGAGTTGCCCGTGCACGCTTTTGAGAAAGGTTTTCTGGTGTGCTGTGAGCTGGCTGTGCACGTGGTGGAGGCAGGTTGCTGGTGCTGGTGCCGGGTGCCGGTGCCGGTGCTGGGTGTCGGGTGCCGGTGCTAGTGCTGTGAGCTGGCTGTGCACGTGGTGGAGACTGGGCGCCGGTGCTGGGTGCTGGTGGTGGGTGCTGGCCGTGCACGTGGTGGGGACAGGATGCCGGGTGCTGGTGCTGGGTGCTGGGTACCGGTGCTGGGTGTAACAGCTGTGTCAAGGGCTACTTTTGCACGTCGCAACGTCAGGCTCTCAACCGACCATTGTTTCAGCTGTTTCAGCATGCTACACACACACAATAGTCGCGCTGGATACTGCTTGGCCTTGGGCGAGTGAAGCCCACGGGCTTGCCGGTTGCGCGCATACTTTTGTGCGCATAAACTTATACGCGCAAGATCATATGGCCTTATCGTTCTACAGATCGTTGCTTCAAGCATGCTACAAAGTCAATAGTGGCGCTGGATACTGCTTGGCCTTGGGCCACTGACGCTTACGGGCTTTGCTGGTTGCGCGCATACTTTTGCGCGCATCATCTTATACGCGCAAGATCATACATTGTTATAGTTATTCCCCAAATAGGGATAGCTACGCGGTTCTTACTACAAATAAGAATGAGCTGGCTGCGCACGCTTTCGCAAGGGTGTCGGTGCTTCTGTTGTGGTCCTGGGTGTTGGTGCTGTGAGCTGGCTAAGCGCGCGTTGTCAGCTGGCAGAGCGCACCGGCACTGGTGTCAGCTGGTTGTGCGCGCTGTGGAGGTGCCGCATGAAGGCTGTGCAGGCTGCGTACATTCTTGTTCCAGCCAGTCGCATGTCAACAGGTCGTGGGATTCTGCCTAGCTATCTGGGTCTATGCTGGTGTAATTTGGAATTGCGCTGCTGGCCAAGCAGCTTGCGCAGGCGACGCTCACGAAAAGTTGTTTCTTGCATCCACCGAAACGTCTTAGTGCAGGTTGCACCTTGATTGATGTCTGTGCCCTTTGCTCTTTCGTGTTTTGGGGTCGGGTTTAGGATTGAACATCTAAAGGCGAGCATTCCGGCCGCCCGTGCATTTTTTGCTACGACAACGAATACCTGCCATTCAGCTTCAGTATTTGTGCTGGGGGAACAGCGGCAGAATACTAGGCTTCTTTAAACACAGCGCACGGGCTTGTACTGCTTCCATGAAGACTGAAAAATGTCGTGCTGGTAGTGTAAAGAACATCGGATCATCTTGTAATCTGAGAAGTTTGTAGGCTCAGGTTTCAAAGAGGAGAGGATGCGACGCCCGGATCCAATCTATGCATCTTTGGCTTGTCCCATCTCGTGGGGCATTCTTCGCCCTCCAGGTTGCGCAAAGCATGCACTGCAGAAGCACGAAGTGAAACTTGCTGCTTCAACTCCTCAAGGTGAATGACCCCAGTGCTTCAACTCAAGGTGAATGACCCCAGTTGAGAAGCGAGAACTGATCCATCAAAACGGCTGCAGTAGCATGGTGACCATGTGGTCCGCCCCCCATGACCGGGACGCAGGACGCAGCTTGGCCGCAGAAGTTCACCATCTTCGTCAGTCGAGGCCGCACCGAGTCGTCATGCGATCATGTGAGAAAACGGAGTCGTCAGACTTCCAAACACTCAGTGGTCGTCATCTCTTGTTCTGTTTCATCTCGTCTGTGGACCTTGACTTTGTTTTGATGTTTTGCAAAGTTCTGGTTTTCACAGAGGGGAAAATAAGGGCATAGGGTGCCTGAGTAAGATAGAAAGCCTGCATATCCAACCATATACTTCATCAACCAAAACTATATATACCGACCTATATAACTGCTTAAACTGATGAAATCTGAACCCAAACTGTTTTGCCAAGGAGCGGTGGCCATTGTTGCTCTTGTCAGAGCCTCCATAGGGCTGGCTGCGGACGTAGATCTGGGCGAGCGCGCCCTTGTACTTGGGCGCAGATGGTTGTTCCAACCTCGGGAACTGAAGAACTCGGGAAAGGGTATCACTCCGACTCACTCGACGATGGAACTGGAAAACGCACCCCCCTGGGCCCTGGTTCTTCGGAGCATCGTTAACTCGTGATCCGGGCCATGCAGGGCCATTCCGATGGTTCGAACGTGGCCGCTGCAGGTGATGTATTTGTTTCCAAGCTGGCTATGGCTCCTGGTTTCAAGGTCCTCATCGGATCGTTCTTGTTGCCTTACGAGCTTCTCTTGAAACTTTGTTGATGCGCAATGGGCTCCTTTTGTCCGGATTGATTCGCTCATTCGTCCAATTGACCCACACAAGGCCGTATACAAATCACCCGCGCAGGCCGTACCCACGCACGGCCCGCATGGCCCAACACAACTCCGAAATGGTGACGTGGATGGCATGGGCGAAAGGATGACCCACAAACAGGTGGTCATCAAAGGTCATCAATGGTCAAACAGGTGGTTCGACTCATGACGAGTTTCTCGAATAAACAGGTGGCATGACTGGCATGACTCTCATGCCCTCCATTGAAAAATGATGATTTCAAGGAGTGTGCTGAGAGAATCGCCATTAGCCAAGCATGAACCACGCAAACTCTAGGCAGAACAAGCCCAGTCATGAAGCGACTTGGCACAGTGACGAAGCACCTCCGTGTGAAACAGGCGGAAAACCTCTCCACATCCTACAGCTCCCTTCTCTATTCGCTACAGCGTTCTTTCTCCTTCTTGGAGAGTGAGTGAAAACAATCCCCGTCGAGTGACATGCCCTTGTAGTCCTTGGCCACCACAGTGATGCTGCTGCAATCCACGGGCCCTGGGCATGGGGTCTTTGCATCGACGCCTGCGGTGAAACCGGGCGGGAAGGTCTTCGCGCTCGTCGCGAGATGGCGCTCATACCAGGAGTGGTACACTGGAAACAAGCATGGAAGCCAGTGTAAGGGCCTTGTAGAGGAAAGTACCACTTCCAGTTTCTTTTTGGAGAGTTGTTGTTGTTGCGACAGTTTGGGGAGCGCTTTTTAGGGTTGTGATTGGAGCCAATGGTTGCCAGTGCCGACAACAGGAACCTCCACACCCATGCTGTTTGGGCGGGATCTCACTGGAGAAAGTAACATTAACATACATGAACCAATTGCAAAGGCAGAATGAACATGAATGAACAATCAATACATGTCCATGTTGTCGGATGCCACCCTTGAAGACCTGCATGTTAATGCACGCTCCTCTTGCTATGAATGAAGTCCCCACTCCCGAACCCATGATTCTCTCAGCCGCCAAGCTCAACATATCATGACAAGGTCATCAACACCAATCTTTGGGCTATCCAAGATCCCGAAAATTCCCGCAATGAGTTCGCAATTCACAACCTTCACCGACCACAACCACTTGGTTACACAACCAATGTGTCCACGAAACCAGCGAAACCAAAAAGGGAAGGGAACATGGATCCCATGGGGTCCTCATTTGCGAAGTATATGCTGATCCCATGGGTTTCCACTAGAACTGGGATTCTCATCCAGGATAGCCGATTTGCCCTTCACCAAGTCACAGGCCCAAATCTTCTGCAACTGATCTGCCGGCAGCTCCTGGAATTGTCACGAACCAAACTCGCTACTCAGTGGAAGATCAGTGGGCAACCATCACACTCGGTATAGGGGGTCGACTTGGTTCCTGCATGATTCTGAACTTTTGTAACTGGGAATCTAAAAACTGGTAATCTAAATGTATGTAGATATGTATATTTTGGAGATGAGACGCCCTGGAAAAGTTGGTTTGAAAAGAACATGCTAACCTTGCGACCAAAACCATTGAAGTGATACCAGGCACATCAGGCACACAACCGTCACTCAAGGCAGCACAGGGCACAGGGCAAAACGTTTTCAAGGCTTCATACCAAAAGCGCCAGCTTCAAAGCACAGTTTCAACACGTCAATAGAATCCAATCATTCAAAATTATCCAACTGACCCAACATGATCCACTCATTTCCTGCTGATCAACAACGCCTTTTGCTCCGAAAAAAGACAACGGCCCAACACCCCTTCAACGCGTGCTCATCGGGTCGTCTTTCTTCGCTCGGGAATCGTCCGTCAGCTTTCTTCGCTCCGCCGCGGCGAGATCTCCTTCAGTGCGGCGGCGATCTCTTCGGGGGACTTGCCCTCGATCATCCCCTTGGCATCGGTCGAAGCACCAGATCCCATGGTCCTGGCACGGAGGGACCAGGGTGAATGTATGTGTACATGGCTGAAAAACATGTGGTGAAGACCATGTAATGATATACATCATATTGTACAAGTGTGTGCAGTGTGTGCATGTACATGCATAAAGAATGGAACACATATATATATATATATAGACCTTAATATACTGAATGTCATGATAAATGGCAAACATATTACGCAAATACATTATATATAACTATATGACAAACATAGAACAACAAACCCCACATATAGTTAAGATGGGAGCAGGTCATGGGTAAGGAAGGCTGCATCTTATTCACTGTCCATGTCATCCCATTTGTGAGGGCACATGAGGGTTATGTACGCAGTGGTCCTTGCAGTTTGACATGTGACTCCCTCATCAATGAGTTGAGGTTATCATATCATGTTTTATATCCTATAGTATCTGGTGCCTCCCAAGCATAACATAATGCTATGTTATAGGGACAACTCAACAATTTGAGGCAGCAAAACACAGCCGAGTTGTCCGTGTCTTCCACACGTCGACCTTGAATTATACTCTGCTTGCGGGATGTCTCCTGTCTCCTCAAGTAGTATGGACTAGATGACCAGTGGGGAGAAACAGCCCACAACACACTCAGACCAACAGAATGTCACAGAATCAAAGAAGAACAAAGACATGTGTTCCTCTTTGATCTTTGGTTCTATTCGTGAATTCCAAGCGGCAAACTTAGCGAAGAGGCTGAAATACAAATACACGTTGCTGTCGCGGCAAATGCAGCGTTTGCTTGAGCCAAACCAACACATGCATGGCACAGGCATGCATGGCACAGGCATGCATGCCCTTGAACACACACTCACACACACACACACCTACACTAAGGCACGAACCCGATCTTCCTCCATGCTAAGCCCTCCATCATCCATCTTTATTGTACTGAGACTACTCGTGGAATGACAAATAGTGTCTGGTCAAGAATTACATCTGGGATCAGTTCGGTGTGTAAAGCAGGAAGACCTCCCAGTTCGACCCCCACTGGAAGCGAACGAGACTAAAACCATCCACCAACCCTACACCCAAGCCAAGGTCTCTCAACACAGGTCCCAAACCGGCTAACGCTCCGCTCGTTCGCGCGAACGACGAAGAAGCTCCACATCCGCTGCTCAACTCGCTCGTCTGAGCGACTCATGAGTGCCACATCTGTCCGTTGGAAGCCCATCTGGAAGACGGTTGGCTGGTACACCTTCTTGCCTTTGTCATCCTGAACCGGTTCCCGCCCGGCGCACCACTGCGCCGGTGGTTCGCAAAAGCTGTTTGGAGCGGACCAATGGGTGAAGGGTGTTGCATCGAATTGGCAATGGTCCAATCAAAACGGTGGAAGATCACTTAGTAAGATAAGTGCATCCTAGTAAGATATAGTACCACGCGTGCATCTTAGTGCCAATCAAATATATCATTTAGTACATCTTAGTACAACAAAGCACAAGCACACGGATGAGTCAAGCAAAGACTTGGGGCATCCACTGGAAAGTACGCTGACTTCACAGGAGTAGATCAGGCCTCTGAAAAGCTCCCCGAGAAACAACCCAAATAGCATAGGTTGTCCACGTGTTTGTTGTTTCTTGGGTGTCGATGAGTGTAGCCATACCAATACCTGTTCTGAGAAAACAAAGCAACGTGAGTCATGAGCCTTCAAATGTTTAAGACATTATGCATAAAGAGGATGCGAATATGTGAGACTATTGAGAACGCCAAATCTTGCATATTGGGGATGTCATGGACTCGGACTGAACTCTTTGCGAGATCGATCTATTTGAATCAACAGCTTCACTGAAAAATCAGCAGCTTCGCTGCTTTGGTCGATCCAGTGCAGTGCAGCGTAGGTTCTTTTCGATTGAACAGGGAAAACGTCTGCGATGCAGATTGTGCCCAATCCATCTGGATGTCCAGCTCTGTGTGACCTCAAACAATGACATGAAAACAAATCATCCGTGTGTGCTGCAAAGGACTCAGGTAGTAATGGGTTCTTATGGGTAGTGATGAAAGCTTAGCAAAAGGTCAAGCCAAATCAACTGTTCAACTTCTATGTGCGAATCCAAATGAGCTTAGGTTCCCACTCAAGCAAGCCTTCCTGACCTGTTCCTAAACCCTACAATGCTTCATCACTCGAGGTGCGGCGGTACACTCGCAGCCTTTCATCGGTCCTCATACGTCCCCAATTTCCCGCATTGCGTGGTTCTGAGAAGTGCTGAGGACATTTGGCTGTGTAGCTCAAATAGGGAGACGGTCCCGGCGTTCCGACCCCCTGGAAGAAGAAACATAGACCAGTCTACCCATGGGTTGGGCGTCTCCCTGGTCCCTATCCAAAATACTAGCAAGAAGCTACTAGGTTGGAGCCCATCGCTATTAGCGCTAGTAGGTTGGAGGCCATCTCTAGTAGGTTGGAGGCCACTACTAGTAACAAGAAGCTACACACCCATGTCTCTCCAGCTGCCCGAAATGCCCGAGCCAAGCAACCCAGATTCACCAGAGTGTTGGAATCTCGGTTCTCCATGCGGCAAAAGCAGCCATCTGCCTGTCGTTCACCAAATTGGTTTGAAGGGTAGCATGGAGATGACGTGATGTTCCTATCGGACCCTGCTCAATATATTCCAAGTAGCCATGACCGTGTTTTGGACCCTGTCAAGTATATTGAGCATGATGTAGCCATTGGACAAACTGCAGGGTCCGATAGGAACATGACATCCTTTCCCCTCCCTTTTCCCCAAACGGTCCATCTTCCCCCCCCCCCCGGCCGATGCAGCGGACGAGCGAAGGCTAATTCATCAGCGGACGAGCAAACGTCCGAAGTCCTCAAAGTGACTCAGCACGATGACCAATCAGTTTCTCTGCGCCAAGCAGTGACAGCAATGATTTTCTGTAGCGGGGAAACCATGGGAAACCCAGTACCCCCCAAAAACATACAAGACGGGTGCTCCTGGGAGATGTTTTTCATGCAAAAAGTAGCAAACACACTATGTTTTACAGTGATGTTTTTGCTAAAACGTCACCAAAACCTAGGTGTTCAGCTATTTTTAGATCAATTTTGTGAGGACCAGGCCTATAACAGCTTAGAGGGGATACATTGTGTTTTACAGTGATGTTTTTCTAAAACATCACTAAAACCTAGGTTTTTCAGCTATTGTTAGATCAATTTTGTGAGGGCCAGGCCTATAACAGTTTTGAGGGAATACTACAAAACCAAACAAAAACATAAAAACCAATGGTTGAGACAAAATGGGGGTACTATAGGAGTGTTTTTTGCTGTTGTGCTTTGCCTCCATTTTGTCTCAAACATTGTTCTTTTTTTTGTTTCAAAGGTTGTTATTTGTTTTGTTTCTTTGTTTTTTTTTGTTTTTTGTGTTTTTGTTTTTGGTTTTTGGTTTTCTCTTGAACTTTGTCGCGCAGCAAGCATTGGTGATAAGTTGCACAGTCTTCTTAATATATTGCATGCCTGACACGGTTGCATAGATTTCAGGGTTGTACAACGGCTTTTGCCGAGTACTGGCGCCACTGTGCTTGCGACAGTGTCGCTAAACACAAGTCCTGGGTAACAAATTCTTTGTAAACCCCTGCGTAACAAATTCTTTATAAAACCCTTATTTAAAAGCCCTTGAAATTTGATCAAAACGACTCTGGAAAGGCTACCCCTCATGCAGCCACCATACCCTAAATAAAGTGCACCCTAAATAAAGCTAAACATGTTTGTTGCCTGTTCTAAGAATCCAAATAAAGATGTATTTCATTTCCTTATTTAACTCCTTTCTTGAAGCCACCATACCCTAAATAAAGTGCACCAAAAATAAAGCCAACCATTTTTGTTGCCTGTTCTAAGTATCTAAGTAAAGGTTCATATCATTTCCTTATAAAACTCCTTCCTTAGAATTTCCTTTTTGTTCAAAGCAAAAAATCATTTCACTTATGAAACTCCTTTCTTAGAATTCCCTTTCTGTTCCAAGTAAAAGTTCATTTCACTTATTAAATTACGTTCTTAGAATTCCTTGTCTGTTCTAAGAAAGTATTCATTTAATTTCCTTATTAAACTCCTTTCTTAGAATTTCATTTCTGCGTTAATAAAAGATTCTTTTCATGTCCGTATTAAAATTTTTCTTAGAAGTTTCTTTGATCTCAATTCCAGGAACTTGTCCTAGGTAAATATTCATTTCATTTACTTCATAAACTCCTTTCTTAGAATCTGGAATGAACTTTATTCAAGGTCAAAGAGAGGGGGGAGGGGGGGCCCCTGTTTATTAACAATACGGGTGCTCCTGGGTGATATTTTTTACAAAAAGGACACGTGAAAATACATCATGAAAAGCCAGATAAGCAAGAGACTAAAGCAATATCATTGTATATATAGATATATTAGTATTAATATCCGCTCATGACGTTACGTTCATTGCGCACAGAGAAAGATTAACCTACTTCTCATTGGTGCTACACATTGATAGTGTGCAAACGAAGAGCTGTTAATTGTTGTAATGGACATTGCACATCCAGACTGGGCACAGGAAGGTTGAAAACATATGTGTTTCGCCTAGGTCCCATAGCAGTTTTTGAAATGTTGCACGGTATTTACAGTGTTGTCTAATGTTTTCTAAAGGTTTTGAGCTAGTGTGTGCTCTCCCAAGCACACCCGCCCTCAAAAAAAAAGGTTCAACGACTGGTTCAACGCTATCCCCGTTGTCGGTACTGATGACGAAGAACTTGACCTCTGGATCACCGATCCAACCTGACCTTCGTTTTGAAGACTTCAAGGCAGGCAGTCCAATGTGAACCCCGAAACAAAGAGTGTGATGTTCTGCTTGTTAGCTCCATGTGACTTTCAACTCCAGATCTAGTGTTCATCAACCAGCTTCACGGTTCCTCGACCAAGAACTTCAGGTTTTTCGTTCAGAACCGAATAGTGGGTGGATGTTGGACACAGGCCACCAGACCGGCCACCCCAATACGCTGTTCTTTTTCGGCACCCGTTCCTCCATTGAACCGCTGGAACTTGGACTTTCAACTCGACATGAATTCACCGTCTAAAGCCGCTCCCTCCTCGGCCATGAGCTCCGAGAAAATGAACGACAAATGTCGATCGAACAACTGAACCTCAGCACGGCCACATGGTCTGACCCCACGCGTTCGGTGAAAAATCATGTTCAAACATCCAATGTGTTGGACAAATGGGTAGGGTTTGTTTCCTGAACGATTCCCTTCAAAAGTTGTATTATATTGAACGAAACAATTCGTAGATTCTGTAAGTAATACTGTGTCTTCCAAGCCTCAATAAATATAATGTATATGGGTGAGTACCTACCGTAGATTTCAAACAAATAATTAAACAAAACAAACCATGTGTTTTAAAACCAAACTCACAATATGTTGGCTCAAATCGACGGAATTAACTGAACATCTGACCTATAACATCGGTCTTCTGCCAAACATATCAAACATGTTCAAACTAGCCCTTTCTTTACTGAGATACGCGGTAACAAATGGAAGCAAACACCATCATGGGTCACATGGAAACGATGTGAAACCAAAGGATGACGCTAAACATTCAGTGGTTGTGATCAAATTGTGGTCATTCGTTGTTGCAAAACACAGTGTGTTGCAATTGTCTGCCTGTGATCACAGCAGGCGCAAAACACAATTCGATCAAACAAATACCCAAATGCAATTCAAACTGCGGTTATTCCCCGTGCAGCAAGAAATCATGGCATGTTCAGAGTGAGTGATCGTGTTGTCAGCTAATGCTAGGTTTCAACGTCGATATTTGGTTTCAAAATGTTTCAACTGTCTGATGTCAAGGCGGACAAATCCAAAGATTGACAATTTGTTGGGCCCATGCAAAGCACAAATTCCCTTGAAGATGACTTTGCCTCTGACTGTTAAATCAATTACAGTAAAAAAATCAGCTGTCGTTCTGCCGTCCGCACCACATGCCGAGGAACCGTCTCTTGTGAATATTCTTCGGGAAGGCACTCGTAGACCA